GAGACAGTAGGATAGGTGGAGAATTGAATGTCCACTTGCGCTTCCTGTCTTCTAACTTAGGCAATAAGAAGTTGCAGCTTCAGCTGAACTCCTTTCTCTGCTCTGGAAAGAAACACATCTGGCTTTATGTGAAACAAGTTCTTGAAGGGCAATTTGAGATATGCTGAGCTAAAACATGAGGCAAGTGGCTTACTGAGTGCCCCATTTTCTGATTCTGGAAACCTCCAAAGAGCCCACAATGGCAACGGTAACCACTTGGGAAAAAGAAAAAATAAGTGAAGAAAGGAAGTGGGATACAATAATATTAATATTCACAGTCGATAGTCAGCAGTGTTATGTTTGGTCTTTTTGTCATTTCTATTGTTTCATCTCTTCTTCCAAGACAAACTTAGGCCACCTCTTTCAGAGTTTCAATCTCTTCTAGACTTTTTTTAACCCTCAAGAAAACAAAGCAATCTTTATTGTGTTCATTCATTGTATACAAAGTCTACTTAAAGCTCAATCTTGAATTAAGATAAATTTTCCTGTTCATCACAGCAAAATACAAACCAGACACTTAATGAATAATTTAAAATCCTATAAATATATCAGAAAAAAAGTTGTATGCAAACACGTAAACATACAAAACAAGCCAATGACTTTTTTACAATCAACAGAGAGACAAGATTCCTTCATAGGAGAACACGAATAATTTAAAATCCTATAAATATATCAGAAAAAAAGTTGTATGCAAACACGTAAACATGCAAAACAAGCCAATGACTTTTTTACAATCAACAGAGAGACAAGATTCCTTCATAGGAGAACAAAAGAACAAGCACCAAGTCCTGACACCACTCATGATGTTGGGGAAGACACTTACCTGTAGATAAAGGGTTTTAAAAATGACAATTTTGGGCCGGCCCGGTGGCGCACTGGAGAGTGCGCCGCTTGGGAGTGCGGCGGCGCTCCCGCCAAGGGTTCGGATCCCATGTGGAGACCGGTTCCCGCTCACTGGCTGAGCGTGGTGCGGGCGCAACACCGAGGGTTGCGATCCCATTCGGTTCCCGCTCACTGGCTGAGCGTGGTGCGGGCGCGACACCGAGGGTTGCGATCCCATTGCCGGTCAGTAAAAAAGACAAAAAGAAAAAAAAATGACAATTTTGATATTATAAACAGAGATTATGTTTAAGAAATACTTTCTTTCCATTTGAGAAAGACCATGGAAACTAAGTTCTTTCAGAAGATATGACATATGTACATTTACCATCAGGCCCCCCCTCCAGAGATTGAACCTCCTGGAGGACTGTCCAGATGTGTTCTCTAGATGATATGAGTACTACTTGAAATGTGTGGTGTTAGCCAATTATGTTATGACCAACGTCAGTCTAAAATGGCAGCAGGTGGACAGGAAGAACACCCAAAATGGCCGCGGAAAGTTTCACATTTTCCAAGAACCACAAAAGACCCCCCTCCCCCTTCTCCCTCACCGCCACGTCACCTTCCCATGTGCGTGATTTTCCCCACCTGTATAGGAAAGCCCCAGCTTAGCTTAAACTCTTGCTTGGTCCTCTCTTCCAATGACAATGAGACAGATCAACCTATTAGGATATATAAGGTGCTCCCTAGTTCTGCACGCGGCTGCTCCTGCTTGGAGAGGGCAGCCCACCTGCTCGCCCCTGAAGCCCTCCAATACACATTCTGGCTGAGTGTCTGTCTCTCGTAATTCTTTGTGACTCTGGGCCATCCCTTTCATGTGGCCTTTAGCTTGATACCATACAGAAATTGTGATTGTAATGAACGCCATGTCATTACATTCTTGGCCCTAAATGTAATGTTTGTAGTGAGGTCCCTCTTGGTCCTCAACCCCTAGAAATGTATCTGCCATGACTGCAAGAAGAAGGTCTCTTTAACTTGTGATTCTTCGAGGATTATAAAGACAGTGATTTTGATATATTTTTATAACTTTCTAAATGTACATGCTAGACATATGTCAGTATTTTCCTAATTCCTATTTAAGATACATCCTAAAAGCTAACAGATCACTAGCATCATAACCAACAAAAATCTTACTAAGCTTTTTCTCACTAGTATAAATGGTTTGGTTGGGGTACTGCTATCTTCCACATATTCTTGAACATTCCTCCATTTCCCTTTACTTAGAGAACAACGTGTTAAATAAGTATTCACCCTGGAAATGGAGAAAACAAGCTTTATTATAATGATTTGAGATTTTGTGCATGATAAAGATATACACATGAATCTTGTTTCTCCTATGTTTCAAGACAGTATTAATTTAAAGTTTTATTGTAGACTAAAGCATCCAAAATACTGTGGTACATATTTAGCTACGAACATACAAACACTTCGATGCACGGCATTCATTCTTTTCTTTAAATAGGCAGTCAGCATTTTGATTTGTAAAAGAACAAATAACATATCAGTATCGATGTCAGAGAGTGCAAAGACTTAGTGTTCTATACACAAAACATATGAAACAGACCTATAAAGATGGAATGTACAAAATTTAAAAAGAAAAAAAGGAAGCAAAAAACCTTCATACTCATACATAGGACTGAAAGGCTATAGAATTGCGAATGACATAAAGGAACTCTATTACAAGAATACACTGTTGATGACAGAACATTCCCATGTCATAAAGCAAAAGTGTTGAGTTTAAGGCTGTGTTGCGGACTGAAAGGCTATAGAATTGCGAATGACATAAAGGAACTCTATTACAAGAATACACTCTGTTGATGACAGAACATTCCCATGTCATAAAGCAAAAGTGTTGAGTTTAAGGCTGTGTTGCTTTCAAAAGTCAATGGAAGTGCCGTACATTCATTTGGAACAACATAGCCAATTTATTAACCTATTCTAGAAAATTAATATCTTTCATACATTCTCTACAAACAGACCACACAATCACTGCCACACAATTCCTCTTTAGAAAGTTTTTAAGATTAGCATCATGATTTGTAGCTTACTGTCATTTAAAACAAACCAAAAAATTTATTTATACTAAACAAATCTTTAATGGGCACTTAGTTTCCTTTATGGCAATACTAGATTCCTAGTTATCAAAAATATTAAAATAATCGTAAAGTTTAAAACCCTGTAACATTTCAGAAAGCAACAATTACGACTTTCGGTTTTAAGCAAAATTAGATAATGCTTGCATCAAATAGCTTCTGGAAATGTCTTGTTTTTCAGTTATTAACTAAAAATAGTCCTCTCTTTTCAGAAGCTTATGAATGCAGAGGATACTATAGAGTCCAAATATACAAAAGATTTTTCCCATTTGAAGTAATCTGCAGATTGCTTAATGTTTATTTGCTATTTTTTCCAATTAATTTTGTAGGTATTACCAAAGCATTTATGCTGACCCTTCATTGTTAAGGATCCATAGATACTTGCTAGTGCACTGCTATTCCAGTTAACTCCATTTTAGAACATACCCTGTATATTTAGTAGTGGAAGCAAATGTGTTCTAGTTGCATGGATCTAGAGTATTTAATTACGTCAATCTAGTCAAAGACTAAATTAAAATAAGGAAACTTGGGGACTTGATCTGGAGACTAAAGTTTTATCTAAATACTAAGTACCATTTTTTAAAAAATGGCAAATAGTCATAAAGGCTTTAAATTCATGTGTTCTGGATGGTCAAGTGACTCTCTCCGCCTCCCATGTCCAGCAGAGGGTCTGTATTGGGAGGCAATGCATCATCACTGACCTTGAAATCCCAACTGGCAATACTTTGCCATGAGTGCCCAAGGGAAATTTGAATGACTAACTTTTCAGTGCTACTTATCATGAATGTATGACAGGCTCTATATACTTGACAAAGAGAAATCAAACAATAATGGTAGCCCAGAAAAAAAGCCACTTACTTTAATATCTTTCTCAGTTTACCAGAAACCATTTTCCATAGAATGTGACAAAATTTCATTTAAATCTTGTCTATTTGTATCTTAAATCAGCAGCACTTTCTCCCCAAAACATGCTTATCAAGAAATACAGTAAATGCACGTTTCTAAGTGTAAAATGTTATCTATACTTTAACATATATGATTACATATTTTAGGGGGAAAATATAGTGTTTCCTGGAGTGCCCATAGCATATGTTTTGGTGACAGATAGTGGAACAAGTCTGAATCAAGCTGTCTAATCTTCCATTCCAGTTTGTGCCAATACTGGCATGTAAAGAAATTACGTTAGTATTGAGTCTACTATTGAGCTATCTAGCCTGATATGATATGATATGGTGATTGGTTAATTTATAAGTTAATTTCTATGTTCACAAGTAAAATTAAATGTTGTACCAAAAAACCTCTTCAAGTAAACTAGTTTTAAGATCAATAGCCTGTGACAGAATCTAAATAGGAAGTCATGTTTACTTGTGCAAATAAACTAAAATTAATTTAACGAGAACGAGTTTTTAAAAACAGCCTAGGAACTATCAAGAGTGTAGCCTATCTTTTACACAGAATGTTAGTAACCGGCAAGACGAAATTCCCTCCCTGGAATGTGAGCTCCAAGGGGGCAGGGATTTTGTTTGTTTTATCCATCACTATATTCCCAGTGCCTAGAAGAGTGCCTGGTACCTAGCAGGCACTCAGTAAATATGAATGTTTAATTTCAAAGACTTATTTCACTGACATTAAAAAATAGTGTCTTAGTTTAACATTCTAAAAATGTTATTGAACTTCATCACAGACAAGCTCAAATATTTTTAAAACTCTACCTAACTAAAAAAATACTAAACCTAAATGTAAATGTTCCTGAAAAACCTTTTTTTCAGAGGTTGATTTGGGCATAACAAATTTAACAGACAACTGGAAATAGCTAGATTTCCCTTCTAAGTTTTAAAAAGTCCTACGTAGAGAATGACTGAATTACAAATTAAGAAACAATAACATCACATTCATATAATTATACATCTGAGAAATGTTTTCTTATAGTCCAGTTCTAAGGTGCTTTCAGTGAAAAAGATCTGAGTCATTATTGAAAATGCCAAGCTTTCGCTTTCATCAAGTGGAAGAGGGGAGACACATGTGAAAACATGGCACATAAAACAAGACTAACTTTTTCTTGATTACATTCCAGTGCATTAATCTGGAGTTAACTGGGCAGTTCATTTAAAAGTAGCATTTTACTTTTGTAATATGCTTTTCAAAGCATTAGGAATTTCGGATTCCCTTGAAGATGTACTTTGTTTTCTGATACTAGGTGAAGAGGAAAGAGAAGGTGAAAAGAACACACAAATTTCCCAGAAAGGTTGGGAAATTTGCATTAATTCTTAAGTGCTAAACTCAAGAGGCCTGCTAATCACAGCTGGGAGGATTTTGCAAGACAGCCTTATTTTTTCTAAAGTAATTTATATGTAGTTGTTGATAACCAAAAAAATGTCACAAGAGTAATACCTACCGTAAAAGTGAGGTTAGAAGATTCCCTGGGTCTCGTGACCTAGGTTAGGGATGTAACTACAACAGATTTTGTTCTTGTTGTGTTTTGTTTTGTTTTTGGAAGCTCTGTGCAAAAGCTACCATTCACAAGATTAACAAATATCTTTACATATTCTAGTTTTTTTTAAGGGTTTGATTTGCAAAATTAGTTTGACTACATAAATCCTGTCCTATAAGCCATACTTCACATAGATTCAATAGAAGAGATTTTTTTTTTAACACTAAAGGTGAATTACGGAAATTGGATAAGCAGTTTTTAAGGAAATTGTTACATTCAGAAATAACCTTGGAAAGTTCACCAATGATTCCTTTTAGCATGAAAAGTCTAGTCATAATCTGGTCCTGCATTGAGAAATCCATTCCAGTTTATAGTGCAAGACCTCTGTAAGGGGGTGTCCAGCTGCCCACCATTACTGTAAGTATCGATAGACCTTGAAACAGTGATTTCCAGAGTCTGCAACCACAACATGACCATCTGAAGTTAGGGCCAGGCCTTGGGGTCCATAGAGTGGGTCGGCAGATGTGTTAATGTAGGATAAAAATGATCCGCTCCCATCAAAAACCTATAAAAAATACCAAGTCAGAAAGTTATAAGAAAAGTTATAGTAATATGATGAAATATGAGTTACAAAGCACTTGATGCTAATGTTTTTAATATAAAAGCATGTAAGTAACCCCTAGGTTTGTTTAGGTCACTATCACATATTCATTCAATCTTTCTCTCCACTTACCTTGCTTTTTCTCCTCTTCCTCTCTGCGCAGAGTCACTGACACAGCACATGCCACTGGCTGCAAGATCTCACTTGTGTTCCTACAGTGGTCCTAACAAGGATTTGGTGGGAATGGTCCTGGATGGTGCTTGAAATATGAATGACCCTTTTTCCTCAAATTTCTCCTTCCAGCCTCACATCTCCCTTTAATCCCCAATCATTAGGGAGAAAAATCAACTAGACTGCAGAGGAATGGTCCTGAGTCATAATGAGAAAGTAGAGACCTTTTTTTTTTTCCTTTTCAGAAGAGCCAGTTCTAAGAAGTCAATGGTTCAACATGTGTATTGGATATGAAATGGTCTTCTTTTGGTCTGTAAGCTTCTGTTACGATGAAATAAAAGGAAGAAATCCATGCCCTTACACTTTTCCTCCTTCACAAGGCCCAGACTGGTTTCTTTTGACCATTTTGTTTGGCCTGTATGGTGTTTTTTTTTTTTTTTTCGTGACCGGCAACGGATTGCAACCCTCAGTGTCGCGCCCGTACCAGACCGGGACCGGCAACGGGAT